TTTTCTTTTCTTCTCTTTTCTTCTTTTGAATTAGAAAAATTTTTTTATTTCTTTTTTCAAACATTCTTCTCTCACTATGCAAAAAATCTTCAATCTTCTTATCCATATTTATAAGTTCAACTTGGACACTATCAGAAGCGGTTAGCCAGGTTTTCTTTTATATCTAGCTAAGTGTCTTCTAGTTAATTTAGTCTATCTAAGATTTGATCTAAGACTTATTCCATTTGTCTTGTTTCTACATGTACTTGTTTATTTAGTCTCATCTTCTTTTTAACTATATTTCTATTATTTTTTTCTGCATTTATGTTTTTGACTTCTAATTATTTTTCTATGTTCTGTAACTAGAGATTACTTTTTATTTCAATGTATCTTCTATTTAGAACCTGTTTATTTTTGTTCCAGTTTTTTTTCTATTAGTAATGTTTCTGTCTCCTAACCACTCTTTTACATCTTGTATTTGAGAACCACTTCTTATTTCTGCATGTCTTTTGTTTTGCCTTTGGCTGGTTCTTTTCCAGCTTCTTTCTCTTTCTCTTCTAACACTTTCTCTTTTTTTATTTCTTTTCTTCTTTTATTTAGTCAGAATACTTGAAAATTGTTATATCTAATTGGTTTTAATTGAGCTGCCTTCATTTCTTTTTCTGTTACAAACATAATTATCACTGTTTTTCTTTGATTTTCATTTTTGTTTGGCAGGATGTATACTGATTTTGCATCTTTACTTCTTAGGCAGCATAGTAGTAAAACTTCTGAAGCATTGCTTGACAACTCTGTTATTTTTGCTATATACTAACTTTGCCTTTGTCTTGCTTGATAATTTTCTTTACCTTCTGTTACTCTTACCAGTTTGTTACTGTTAACTGGTATGAATCATGGTATGTCTACTTCTTCTAAATCTTCAACTTGGACTATTACAAGAGCCTTGTATTTGGATCTTTTAATTCTTGCTATGTGTGCTTTTTTGAACCTTCTGCATATTTATTCAATCTTTTTCTTGTTTATATATGCTGTTAGATCTCAGATTGTTATATATTTATATTTTTGTGTTTTCTCTTTCTCAGTATCTGTTTAATTTTCTGTTAGTTCTTTTTTGCTTTTTTGTCACTCATATTCTTTTTTTTCAAGTTTTGATATATTGTTTCTTTCTTTCTAATATTCTTTATTATATGTTTTTTTCTTTTCCTTCTTGTCTATTTTTTCTTCTTCTGCAATCATTCTGTACCAATTACTTTCTTTTTGTTAATTCTTTGTATTGCCTCACTTCTGTTATACTTGCAGTCGAAGTCTACCTCTATCTATAGATTTCCTCTTTTAAAGACTTCTTCAATATTTTGACATGCTCATTATTTTTTAGTAACCATCTGATAAAGTTTGTATGTTTTTCTTTGGTCTTTTTAGATACATTATATGCTGGTATGTTTGCAAGTAGGCTGTTGTTTTAATTGCAGCCTCTTTTGCTTAGTGCTCACATGTTTTTTCAAGTGATATTCCTATTATATCAATTTTTTTTCGATTTTTTGTTTTCATCTTTTCTTCCCTTTCTTTTCTTCTATTATTGATCTTTGTCTTGATTTTTTCCTATTTATTTCTATGTCTTCTTGTTCTTGTTTTTTTTTTTGTTCTTTATTTGCTTCTTCATAGATAGATAATTCAGCTTCTACTTAGCTATTATTTGTTTGTCTTACCTTTATACTTACTTTATTTTTTGCAGTTTAATGTTTGTTTATAGACTTTTGTTAGCATCTTTATCTTCTTCTTTCTTTCTTTTTGTCTTTATTTTCAGCTCTTCTTACCCTTTCTTCATCTTATTTGTCTGTTGTTGTTCTTCTTTCTTTTTATATTTCTTTTATTTTAGTACTGCTCTACAAAATCCAGCTTCTTCTCAGGTTGCTCTTTTTCTGCTTTTTCTAATATTTCTCTTGTTATTTACAGAAGTGCAACTTTATTTAGATATTGTCTTGTAAGTGCTGCAACAATATTATTTTCTCTACTAGGTATTGCATATGCCTTGCTTGCTTTATTGAAGAAGATTTTATTATGTATACTATTTATTACCTTATATGTTCTTTTTGTAAAGATTGCATTAAGGCTTCCTTTGTATTCTTCTGGCAGACTTTTGTTTATGTTACAAATTATTTTCTATATGCTTCTATGTTATATGTTGTATCTCGATTAAACTAGTTTAATATACATGTTTGTTTGTTTACTTTACTTGTCTTATTGCAACTTCTTGTATAACTTGAGAGATCTATAATACAGGATTCTGGTAATTCTCCAATTTTTCCAAACAATTTTTTATCTTTTATCAAAAAATTATTTATGTACTGTTTTCTACTATCTTTATAGTTTCTTTTTTCTATTTTCTATTATATTATATGTAAATTTTGCTGTTCTGTTTTTTTTGTTAGTACCTCAAGTCTTATTTTCTAGTCTAGTTGTTAAGTTTTCCTGAGTTTTGTTTTCTAGAAATTTTGATTAAAGGATCTATAAGGGAGAATTGATTCAAAGTTTGAGATTGAATAATAAAATTGTTAGAATATTTAGTATTATATTTATAAAGAAGATTATAAAGATTTGGAGATTGTAAATGATTTTTAAGGTATTGTATTTTGTTTATATCTATAATAAAGTGAATGATATTTAAATGGTTTATCTGATTTGATTTTATAGGTAGTTTTGATTTTTTTATAAAAAATATTTTAGTAATAGCTTTGAAAAGTTTTTAAGTATTTTGTTCCAAACTAAATTAAGTTCATTTTGATTAGTAATATTTAATATTTTAGTTTAAAGTTGTTGAAGACTTTGTGATATTTGGTTTGAGTAATTTTTGAGATTTTCTTAGAACAATTTTTATAAAAAAATTTTTTTTTATATGTTGTTTGGTAGATTTTGTTTTACTAATAGTTATAAATATATCAAAAATAATGATTTTGTAATCAAATTCAGATGCAATATCCTTGAGAATATCAGTATAATCAATTTGAGATATATTTAGATTTGTTCATATTTGATCAATTCTACTATTTGAGATTAAGTAAATAAAAGTAAAGTTATAAATTAAAGAAAAGAAAAGTTAATATATATCTTTGAATTAATGACTAATTAAATATTTAAGAATTTGAGATTCTAAAATAGAGGTGTTTTTAGAAAAATTTCTATTTAAGCATAGATTAGAATTATTATTAAAATTATTAAATATTATTAGTTGATAGTTAGAGTTATTACAAAATTGAATAATTTGTTCTTGGATTTCAGAATATAGTTGTTTTTTTTCTGTTATTTGAAAGTAAATTTGAAGAATATGAATAGAATTGTATTTGAAATATAAATCAATCAATTATATAACTATAATAGTTGTATATTCTAGTTATATATTTGAAGATTCTATTATATATGAAAATTCTAATATTTGCTTGATGAGAATTTTCATAAAAACTTCAGAAACTATTATAGTTTTGAAAATTTTTGTTAATATATTTTTCTTTTTTTGAAGTTAGGTATATTTTTAATAATCCAAAAATATTAAAATTAAATTAGTTGATTATATCAATAAGTAGGAGTTTTTTTGAATATTAAAGTAAACTATTAATGTTTAGAGAATTAATTTTTATAGAAATTAAGATAATAGGTAAGAGAATTGTTTGTAGAAGAGATATATTATTAGTAGTTGTAGAATTAGAGTTATAAGAATTAGAAAAAATAAGATTTGAATTTTTATCATTATGTGTATTAAAGAAAATACTGTCTGAGATAATATGAGGAGTTGAGTATCTGAAATATAATTTAATAAGAAGATTATTATATAAATAATAATGTGAATTTAGAAGAAATATGTAATTAGATAGAAGTTTATATTTTAGATTTTTATAGATATGTGTTTTAGTAAGTATATTATTAATAGAGATTTTAAAAGATTTGTTAAAGGAGTTATTTTTTAGATATTAAATAAAAGATATTTGTATTTGTTTAGATAATAAGATTGAAAGATTATGATTAATTAGAAAAATATTATAGCAGAGAAGGTCTTTGAAATTAGATAAAGAATTTGAATCCAAGGAGTAATAAGGTGTTTTTGCAAGGTTGCTTACTATTTTAAACTTAGCTTACATATCCTAATAAACTTTACAAGAGTATAGCAATTTAATGGTTAGTTCTAATTGCAAGTAATAATTTAGACCAAAGCAGTACTAGATTAGCTATAAGTATAAGATACAGAAGGCTCTGATTGGCTTAGTATAAAGTTAAAAATGATTTAGTGATCATGATATATTTGCAATAACACTGCAGTTGATAGGGTAAAGATGGATATGAGAACTAGAGTATTTAAATAAAGAACTTATAGGCAGGTTCTAGGCAGTGTTTAAAATTGGCATGTACAAGATGCATATGTGCATAAATTTTTTTGGATTTTTTTGGATTTTGTTAAAAATTTATTAAATATGTATATAAAATTTTTTAAAAAAAATGTACAAAATGTATTTGTGCATGTAATTTTTTTTTTGAATTTTAAACACTAGTTCTAGATATAGTAACTAGTATAAAACCTTCAGTTGAACTACTTAAAATAGACAATAACTAAAGTTGTATGAGTGGCTAGTTGTACACTCTTTCTATAATTGTCTCTATAGCTGTTGTACACAATAGTTATATGCTGACTGATTATTAATAAACTTCTAGGTCACAATTACTCTCTTTAACATTAAAAAAAATAAAAAAAACTATCTTCTTATTATCAATATTTCCTTTGTCTTGGTTGCCTTAGTTGCTTATATATAAATATTAAACATAATTCACAATAGAAGACAAATTTTTTAAAAAGAAAACTTGTACTAAAAATTACATACCTAAACCTAATCTTCAAGTATCTATAAAACATGTACTGCTTAAATTATAAATATAATCATTCTAAAAATAAATTTATTTGGAAAGATACTTAATATAAGACTTATAAAAAATACAGAAATAACTATAATCAAGTTTTCAAAAAAAAATTATCAGTTATGACTACAAATTCAACTATTGAATCAGCTAAACAGCCTAACAATATTGATCATGATGCTATCATTATCTGGAAGATAGACATTAATAATATCACACATATTGAGATTGACTGCCTTGATGTGAAAGACCTTATTGAGCATAAAATCAAAGAATTAATATTTAATAATTTTGGTATAGTCAATAAGTTTATTAGACATATTTACTTGTGAATGTAGATGTAAATTTAAACATAATAGTCAAAGATGTTACTGTTCTTATCATCATTGAAATAGAAGGTAATAATGATTATTCATAAGAATAAGTATATAACATCTTATATCAAGCTGAATTACCAATACTAATACTAAATGGCAAGCTCTTTATCATGCTCAAAATATAGAAAATATCAAACAAATCTGAGAACAAATAAATTAGATATCAATCTTAGATGTTCTAAACTTTAAACTAATTCCAAACTCATGATCAACAGTATACTCAATTATTACAAGAATCCAGTAAAATTCAACAATATAAAAACATCAAATGATATTATTACAGATCCCAAACTAATTAAAGAACATATCCAACATCATTTTGACAACTGGACCACTTACAGACCTATTAATGATTATAAATTCACAGGCGTTATAATGGATCGGATCCGTTTATTTCAACAATCAATTCAACGACAGTACGATTCATCAACAATCAATTCACTGACAAGTTCAATTCATCGACAGTACGATTCACCGACAAAGTAATTCTGGTCATTATCATTAGGGTCAGGTTTAGAATTAGAATTAAGGTTAGTGTAATTTATAAAAAAAACTTGCCGATGAAACGCACTGTCGGTAAATCGTACTGTCGGTGAAATGAACTTGTACTGTCAGTGAACTGATTTTCGGTGAAATGAACCGAACCCTTTTTGAATAATACCCCGAATTTAGGGCAAAATTCGAAATTACACGTCTGGACGTTATTTCGCGAATTCATTACTAGGCAGACGTGTGGGAGAAGAGTTTTGATCTTTCTAGAATGGCTTAATGATTCTAATATGATCGGTTGATACAAATCTCTTTATTATTACTAAAGTTCATGACTATCATCGGTTCTACAGAATCACAAAATATGTATTTACTCCTGGATTTATAAGAATTGTATTAATTTCTAATCTTTATTAGAAATAGATAATAATGAACATACTCTATTCTTTGTGCATCTCCAAAGATATAGACATAATAACAAGCCTGATTCCTGTGCTTAGAAATAATGCTCTAGAAATTTCAAGGTGGCAAATATAAATACTGTAAGTGAATATTGAAGGCTGTAGATACAGAATTTACTTAAAGAAAGCTGTTTCATCCATCATCAGAAAATTTTTCAAATTGTCTCAGAATTTATAATAAAAAATTGTACTATATCCGAAATAACGCGTTAATTCGAGTATGTCCATGTGCGTTATTTCGGATTTATACGGAATTTGGATCATTAGTTGTCATAAAAAAAAAACAAAAAATTTTATTTGATAAATTTTATTTGATAAATTTTATTTGATAAATTTTATTTAAATATTCAAATCGATTAGTTGCCACTTGTCCAATTTTTTTTAATTACAAGCCTAATAAAAATTACTTAATTGATTTTCTGGCCGATTTGGTTAAGTTTGTGATTTCGGCATAATTTGTGATCCTGCAATTGATTTCACAATTAGGCGCTAATTGTGCAGAGACCCAGAATTTTGAAAACAGTTCGAAAAATAGATATGAGTGACAGTCAGGGAAAACTTGTAAATCATCATTCGAATCGTTTCATTAAGGCAATCCTAATAATAATAAAATAATAATTGTTAGGTTACATGATTTTAAAATATTTTATTAAAGGTAAATATTCAAAAAGCATGATTTACAGGTTTTCCTTGACTGTCACTCACATAATGTATTGAAAAAACCTCGGTCACTTTAGAAACTGTTTTCTGACATTATATATCGATATTTCTCATTATAACAATAATGTCAACTTTTCGATCGAATGTTTGTCCAACATGTTTAGTTTGTCTGGTTTGCATGAAAATTATGGAAAAGGCAGCTCTTACCAACCAGTAAAACCTTAGACGAAATATTAAAAAAGCTCAAATTGTCATAAAACTATTTTTACGTTCGGTTTTAATTGTAATTCATACAATGAACAGTTATATTTTTGTTTAATGAAGTTTTAACATGTATCATTCGCAGCTTTCCTAAAAGTGATGAAAGTTTTTCAATATATTCGTATCTTGAAAGTGGACTTATAAAAGGTCTACTAAGTTTAGTAATTTTTCGAAACGATAAGCCTTCTAAAGGTTTTTTTTCAATTACTGTATTTTTCAGCGAAGGTGCTTGAAAGTATCATATTTCTATATTCAACCAGTAATATAAACGTACGTGCTACGTATACAGCTATACATACTAATATCACTATAAAGATAGAGATACTACATAGGTATGGATCGGTCTTCGTAAAGACCGGTAAAAGACTGAGGACCGAATAATTTTCAGTTCTCGGTCCGGAATCGTCCGATACTGGTCCTGAATCGACTACGTATAAGATTTAGTCAACTAAATCGACTAAACATAGTAATTTACATATAAATTTTTTAGTCGACTAAATCCCTATGACTATTACGTATCACTTCACCTCTATTTCACCTATCTCTTCTACCTTTACTACCTCAATTCTTACATTTATTCCTTCCATTCCTTCTATGTCATCTACATTTGGTATTTCTGCTCTCACAGTATTCTACAAATGAACAATCGGGTAGTTTACGAGCAGAACTAGAAAAATACCTACTATTACCATTGGAAGACAATTAGAATGGTGGCAAGTAAGAAAGAATACCCAACTCTAAGTTCAGTCTCGAGAGACTATTTAACTATACAAGTTACCGGTGTAGCTTCAGAACAAGCATTCATCCATAGCAGGACTTACTATTTCGCCAACAAGAGTTAGATTAGATGATGAATATGAAAGAGTGATCTTATGTTTAAATAGTTGGTTCAAAAAAGAATTTGTAACTTAGATAGTTAAACATCTATATACTTAATTTTTTATGCTAAATTGTCTTTGCATATAAAATACATATTCATATATGTGTATGCTGTATTTTTTATAATATAAATTTAATGTACACTGCATTTTTTATTATAAATTTAACATGCTGTATCGGTATTATTTATAAATTTATTTAAAAAGTTGGCCGCTAATAAACAAACGTTATCATTATGCATTAAGTCGTGAGACCGATTCTAGGACCGAAGGACGGACTGACTGGACTAAAAAACATTATAAAATCGGTCTACAGGGACCTGGACGAACCGATCCATATTGTTGCACTTATGTTGACTGGAACACTAGATGGCAACAATTTAATTTATACGTAGAAGATGTAATATAATTGTGCTTATCTGTTATATAAATAAAGCCATCTGATATTGTAACAATGCCATAATTGTTTTTTTCATGGAATAACTATTCAGTAAATTAAACAAATTACCTTCCTTCATGCGTTAGGTTTCATGCGTATGTTTTTGTAAGCAATTTGGAATTAATATGTAATACTATGTAATCTCTTGGATGAAAAAGTACAATATCTATTCATAAAATATTTAATTTTTGTAAAAATTAAAACGCAAAAATCCAATGCCCCTGAGTTAAAATGCAAAATAGATGCCCCTAAATCACATTTCATTCACAAATTAGCAATATGGTTTAGTCTATGACACGAATACACTTAAAACTTGTTCTAAAAACAGACCGAAAAAAAGTCGTATTATAGATAGCACAGAATCACTTATGTATGCAGTTTGCAAAAAATTTACGTACGTACATGCGTATTTTATTTTTTTTTTATCGATAATGGCATCAATTTTCTATTATAACAAATCCTTTTCAATACTTCCATTTCTAACTATTTTCACTCTTTCCATAATATTTCCTTCCTCCCATTCTCATGACACTCTGACATTTGATCCAACGATTCCATCCTGTGTGGCATGCCAACAAAATTTTTCTTCTGTAGATTCGTGTACAAGTGCTTGCATAGCTTTTCAAAACTTCAGTGCCGTTATTTCCGACCCTTCTCGATTTGGTGATGCACTTCGGTGTGCATGCTTAGACTCATTTCAACAAGCCTATGCACTCTGTTTGTATTGTTTTCAATTGACAAATCAGACTCAAAAATTTTTGGATTCGAAAAATATACCACCAACAGTGGATTCCGTTAGATATGCATGTGCATTTCTTAGCGCAGTTACTCATAATGCTAGCGGGTATAATGCAACAGCTACTGCATCAACCTACAAGTTGTATGACGGGATAATTGTTGGAGGTGCAGAAGGTTTGTTTCTAATGTTTTTAATAGGAATTTGGATCTTGTGGTTGTATTGATTTATTATACTAGTATATTAAACCCCGTTGAATAGTCTAGCTTTAAACATTTTTTAATGGATTAAATTTTAGGCAAATATTTATTTATCTTTGCATTTATCTTTGTATTTAGCTTTGTATTTATTTTTGTATTTTTGTCACATATTCTGTAATATAAGTTAATTGTAAAATTTATTACTAAATTATCATCATAATTTTTGTAAAATTTCACTTGTAATACCTTTCGTGACTTTGTTCTAATGTGCATATTGTCTGACCATCTTCATATGGTGAACGCAAATTAGATTTTGATCGTCATATCTTATCGTTACTCATCAAGATAAAAAACATTATGTTGAATTTTCTCATCTGAATGTCATACACATTAATTAAGCTCTAATCAATGTTGGAATTGTTGGCAAGTGGAAAATACATTTGTGTTTTGATTATAAATTACAAAACATAGACACTACACTTAATAATAGTGGAAAAGGTTTTAAAACTGCTGCACTGATTAAAATATTCGACAAACCTTCCAGTAAATATTGATACCCACTGGTCGAAAAGGTGAAAATAGGAAATTATTTTATACCGATTTTCGAAATCATCCTTATCTCGTAGATATAAATTCTATTAAGCCCATATTATACTACAAATTGAAAACCATATTGTGTACGTATAAATATCCTCTTTATTTAAACGTTATGAAAACTTTCATAATATTTCTGCAAAGATCAAAAAATTAGTCTCTAGGATCGCAATTTTACATGTCGTAGAAACTATTTCGCGGCATTGATTTTTAAGATAAGTTTCAGAGTTATTCCTGAACTAACTTAGACATTCATATCACACATCAATGCCGAAATAGTGTCTATGACATGTATAATCATTGGTGGATGTCATTAAAAGACTTTCGTATGATTGGCTGTTTAACTATTTACCTTTATATAAGAATAAACAAAAATACATGCAGTCGTACCTGAGTTACGTATATATCCACTGGGTTATATACCAACCTGAGTTATATCACTATTTTTAGTAGAATAAATTTTCTATATTAATTTTACTTGATTTATATCTTATTTTATATTGATTTTTAGTTATATCCTTATTCTTGCTAATAGCTACAGTCAAAGAGTATAAAATAATATATAAAATACCTAAGATATGTTCTCAAAATTATTAATAAATCATTAGTCTAATTTTATAATTTTTAAATTATATAATTTAATTGGTTAATAATTACATAGCCAAAGTGCAATACTTAAATTATATTTCTATATTAGATATATTCTTAAAAATGTTTCAAAAAAAAGATATATATAACTCTGATATGATTATATATGTATAAAAACTTTATTAGGATTGCAAAACTTAACTATTAAAAATAATTAAAATCTTATCTTATTTTAGAAAAATTAACATAATAATAATATCTTAAAAAAGAGTTATTATCATGTTAACTTTTCTAAAACAAAATAATATTTTAATTATTTTTTATAATAAAGTTTTATAATTTTAATAAAACTTTCTATACATATACATTTTTAGTTTAGTAGTTAAACTTCTATACTTCTATAGTTAAGATCAATAGTTCAAGTCTAACTAAAGATAAAATCTATTTATTTTTGGCAATTTATATTTGAACACTAGTGTATAAAACACAGGTATATTGATATCTCAAAATCCTAATAATAAAACAGCTTTTAGAGTTTTAACAAAAAATATTTCTTGTAAAATTTTAGTATAAACTATGATTTTTCTAGTCTTAAAGCTAATCTTACTCTAACTTTAAATTGAATTTAATTTTTTGGTTTATAATTTTATTTTACAAGGATTTGTTAAATAAATTAATTAATATTAGTGTATATAACATTCCATGTACAATTAGAAATTTTATTTATTTATTTATTTATTTTTTTATTTTTTATTATTAACATAATGTTTAAGTAGTAATTTTTTTATATATAGAATCATAAGTTCTAAAATTAAAGCTTTCTAAACTATATTTGTGTTATAATAAGACATCCAGTATAATATTACACTTTTTATTTTTTATAAATGTTATAGTTAACTATTTCAAATTAGGTTTTAGTTAAAATAGGTTAAAGAAAATTTTCAAATAATTATTTGAATATTAGTTAATACAAGTAGTTAGCAAGTGCCTTTATAAAAGTCATTTAATAATAAAAAAATTAATATTAATAGATTGAAAAAAAGGTATAATATTAATTAAAGAGTTGAATAAAAATAGTAGATTAATTTTAGTATGCTTAGATTTTAATATAATATTGCAAAATTGTTTTTATTAATATTGATATATATTATGAATAAATTAGAGATTTTAATAAAACCAATTAGATAAATTATTAAAAATAAAGTAGAAAAACATTTGGTTGTTTATTTATAAATATTTTGATATTATTATAAGTAGTAGCAGAATAAGTTCCAGTAATAGCATATAGAATATATTTGTATTGAGAATTTGAAAAATTAAATATAAAATTTAAAAAAATATTTAATAAAATTGTTAAAATTGTATTAGTAATTTTTTTTTTGATATTAAGGTGAAGCCTTGCTTATATCTTTATTAGTAATTTTAGTTGTATATATTAATATACAATATATTAAAGATATACTAATATTGTAAAATACAAAATAAAAACTATATGCAAGAATTAAAGCTCTGACAACTTTATCTGCAATTTAAACCAACTATTAAAATATGATTGTAATATGTACTATGATTAATCCAAAATGTTAACTATATATTGATTTTCCTAATAGTCTGTCCAATTGGTGAACAAGTATTAGGACATAAGTGTAATTGATCTGCTATTTCACATAGATATGAGTATATATAATTTGTATATGATCTTTTATAATGTCTAGTTTGTTGTATCTGTTATGAAGTATTATGAATATTATGAGTTTGAAGAGATATAATATTGTTAATCTTTTTTCAGTTAGAGAGATTAATGCAGTATGGTTTCCATATTTGGTTGTAAATTTGATTATTAATATTAAAGAGTATTTAAATAATAATTTGTAAGACTATCTTAATTAGTATATTGTAGTTATGAATTATTTTAATTAAAGTTTTGGATATAAGGCCTTTAAGAGTAAGATCAAAATAAAAAGAGTTTGCTTGAAATAGTATTCAGTCAAATAAAGAATATTTTTAAAATTTTCAAATAAGTTCATAAAACTAGCTAGTAGATAAATTAAAATCTGCTTTAGATAAAATGTGCTAAATTGATAAATTAATAATATTTGTTATAAGAAAAGAGTTGAGACAAGTTAGTTAGTATAAGTGAGAGTTAGAAAGATTACATTGAAAGCAGTTAGTATTTGTAAAAAAAATTGAATATATGTTGTGAAAAGAAAAGTATGTTGGTAGTTTATTTAGTAGAAGTTTAATTTTAAAGGCTTTAAATTAATTGAGTTTGAAACTAATAAAGTTGAATAAGGGTTTTTGGTTATAACTAAAATATAGCCATGTTGATTGCCAGCCTATGTAGTGATTAATATGAGACTATTTGTTGTTTCTTTTTTGTGAGAACCACATTGCCAATATGTAAGTTTTGTAAATATTTTTAATAAAGTATTAGGTAGAAAGCTCAATAGGATTTTGTTCCTATTGTAGGATATGAAAAGGATTATAAATGTTTGTATATTGAAAGTTTAAAAACAGAGAAAAGATATGTTATTTTGCTAAAAAGTCAGTCATATTATTGAAGATATTATCTGTATAGGCTTGAACTTTGTGAAAGTTAATATTTAAATTGAAAGATTTGATGATATTAAGAAGTGTATGCCATAAAGGCCATGTATTAAATTTAAAAAGTTTGTTAGGATTATTGAGTTGTGTAGAGTTTGTAGTACTTAGATATAACTGATTATGAATCAGTATAGATTTAAAGTATTGCATTATGAGATACAGTTGAGATAGCAAATAATATAAAAAAGAGTTCTGTCTTATAAGCTGATGGCCAAAGATAGATTTTAGCTAAAAATTTATAAAGTATTTGGTTATTACTATCAATTTGGATTTATCCAATGTCTATTGAGCTTTGTTTAGTTCCAATATTAGATACTAATCCATTAATATAAAAAATAATTTTCTTATATAGTAAATTGTTTTGAAAAATTTCTTCAAGTTTGTTTAAACAGTCATTAGATTTAAAGAGTTCTGTAATAATAGAATTTAATATATTGATAGTAGAATAGTTATATGGAATTCATAAAGGATATTTAATTGCTGTTAAATAAATAAGATCTAGGTAGTTAGCAATAAGTTTAAGTTTAGGAGTTTTTCTTCCTAAAAAGCTAGTACAGATAGTTGCTAAAATATTAATTTTGCATGTTTGCTTAACTCTGTTTAAGTTAAGATAGTATCCAGTATATGGTGTGTAGTTTAAATCTGAAAGTGAATAATATTGATTATGTTCTAAGTCAATATTTGTATGCCAATATGAGATAGAGAACTGGTTTGTATTTGGAAAATTTTGTAAATTTTGTCAATAATGATTTCTTTATTATTATCATTGTAAGTAAGTAGTTAAGATTTAAGTTTTTTCTTAATTGATAAAGTATTATATACAAAACTATTAACTTTTAAACATTGAAAATAAAGAAGGATTAGGTTATATAATCTGTCAAATAAGATTGTATCTTCTAAATAGGTAAACCAGAGAGGTTGCCTTTCTTTTGCTAGATTATAAAGTCTTAATAAAAGATAATGCTATTTAAGTAATGTATTATTGTTTGTAGTATATAATTGCTCTAAGTAGAATATATTATTTTTTCGAAATTGTTTTCTAAAAGTATGGTATTTGGAATGTTGACTGAGTATTAGTTCTAGTAGTTGATATTTGTCATAAAAAGTGTTAGGCCACAAGACATTAGAGTTGTCTAAAATTAATATGCCAAGGTATTATAGAAGTTGTATGATTTTAAAGTTAAGTATAAGCTTGTTAGGTCCATCTATAAGTGGTTAACTGTGCTGAAAAATGTTAGTAGTAGATCAAAGTTTGTTTTAAAGTTGGTATAGTCAAATTTTAGTAGAAATATCAAAAATCTCAGAATTGTTAATTCTTTGTTAAAAACAAGATATATGATGTTATAGTTGGATATTCCAGATATTATATATATTATATATATAAGAATTAAGCATAATATTGTTGGGGCTGGTACAAGAAAGTTTGGCTTTATGTTTGATCATGATAAGATATTTGGATAAAATGTTATTACAAGTAGAGTGTTTAAGAATGATGTTATATAATTTGTATTCGATAGTAGGATGTATTAGTAATTTGAAATACTAAAAAAGTATAATATATTATGTTTTTAAGTAATTGTAAAATATTTGTAGCATTATATATCTGAGTCTTTATTCTTCATATATAATTTAAAAGCAAGCAAAACAAGCTTTTCTTTATAAAAACTTTAATTAAATTTTAATAAAATTAAAGACATAGCCTTATTATTAATATTTAAAATTTTGAGACATGAAAATAGATAAAAAATATCTTTAATATTTGTGCAAC